GCGGCCGCCAGAGGAGCAGGAGGAAGGCTCATGTCATCCATGCATTTTCAGGGGCAGGCCAAAAGAAGCACCTCCTTTTAATCTAAATTCTCTTGGCGTGTTGTGTCTCATGTTAATTAATTGCAGCAGATAAATAGAGAGATGGGAATGAAGTGTTCCTCTCTTACTGGTGAGAAAAAAAGAGAACTGTCTCTTTGTCTGAAGTGTTCTTACATTTTCTAATATGTGGTTCTGATTCTGTTGAAATATATTGTGTTCTGTTTGTAACATTTAGTCCCATCCTTCCTCCCTGGTAGTCCTAATTCCATTCAAGGCTCCCCATCTTTTATTTGGACTGTACTCCCTCCAAGGGCAGTTAGATTAAGATCACACCCAGTGGACTGCATGTTGAAATAGGGATTTGAACCTGGGCCTCCACTAATCATTATCCCAGGCTGCTGCTCAACTAGGATCCAGCACTCTAACAGAAAGAACAATCAAAAGTTCTCTGTGCATGTATAGAGGCCTTTTTCCTTAGAGTAGGAGAAACCAGGTAAGAAGAACACCTCTGCAACATGCCCTCACTTTTTTTGAGAAGCAGCAGTGGGTGCTAGGGAAATGCCAATGACCATACTTGCTTAGTATATTTAATTGGTTATATATGTCCCTATTATACTGTGCCTAAGATTTTCCTCCTCTATCGTTAATATAAAAATTGGAGGTGATTTAATTTCAGGAAATAATGCAGAGGGAAACTACTTAATGCAGAGGTCCTCACTCTCCTTCTGCATAACTGCTTTTATGCAAAGGAAAATGATGTCTGGAGAGTAGATTATGGGTCATCCCCATCACATCTAATTCAGCCTTAACAGATATTAAAATTTTATTTATTTAACTAGTTAGTTTGAATCAAAAAACTCTGAAATCTTTTTTTTTTCAAAAAAAGAGAGATAACCCTATGAATATAGAGCCACCAAAATGAAATTAATAGAAAGCAAGCAACTTAACTGCAAATTAAACAGCAGTAAAATGAAACCAAGAGCTACTAGAATGAAAGAGGAGAGCCAGGGGAGCAAATCTTGCATAGACTCAAGAAAATCTCTCCATTGCTGCTTAGGCTTTCTTTAGAATTTAGAATTCTTGTAAGGGGGAAGGGTTTCGCCATGTTTAATGCTTACATCAAACTAGAAGATCTATTCATGTAGTGCAGCTCTCCTCTCTGTTGTCTGCATCAAGAGATTGAAAACTCTGCCTGCTGAATTCCCCAGAATTTTAATGATAGGGGTGCCTTCTGCCAACACAACTGGGCAGCCTGAATAGAGAGCTCTTCTGCCAGTGCTCTTTTCAAAAGGTGATCTTGATTGGAATCAGCTCCTTGCACCTACTGTTTGCAGGGAGAGAGAGGTCCCATTGAGCCAATAGCAAGGGGGGAGGTGTAGAGAGTAAGGAAGACGATCTTGACAGAAATAATCAAGAACTGTTACCTACGCAAAAGGGACTCAAGCATCTTTGAAATCCAGAATTATGAAATAACATCTGGAAGTGGCTGAGACAAACGCCTCCCTAATTCACTGAACTGTAAGGAGGAGGAGGAGGAGGTACAGCATAGGCAGGCTTGCAAGATTCAGTTCTTATAGCCAATCTCAATAAAAGTAGCTTTAGACTTCCTGCAGAATTGATTTCCTGGTCTGGTCTACCTAGCAGGGCTCACAGGAGGGAAGGGAAAGGTCCCATTTTTAGGAAGCAGATCCTTAAATTGCTTAGAGCCCTGATTCTGACCACACCTGTGCACGCGCGGCTATTCTTGTTGTTAAATCATGCAAAGCCAGGCCATATGACAAGTGTCATCTCTCCCTCAGCTCTTACAAGTTATAACAGCAGAGATCCTAGGTGGCTGTCCTAGGAGGAAATTAATCCTATGAACTGCTCCAGGCTGTTGACTATATAATGATAGCTCTAATGACCTTGTGTGGTGTCTCCCTGAAGATAATGATGGGGGCTCTGCCTCCAGTAGCCATTCATTGACATAACACTTCTAATTTTGGGAGCTATTACTGCTTAAGTAGTGAAATCATGACTGATTTAATGCAAATGGTTTGGAGAGTGAGCGCAAGGAAAATGCTCTAATCAGCAAAATGAACACTGCACATTTTTCACAGAGGAAACACAGAAGTCAAAGCTATGGATTTTGCACAATGCCTAGGCCAAAAGTACAGAGTTTTCTCTAACCCTTCTGCCCCAGGACCGGAAAATGCTTTTGTATTAATAGAAAGTGGTGCTGCTGGCAACAGATGGTAGCTATAAACTAAGACCTGTCAGTATGGGGCCAGAAATCAGAAAATCAGCAAGCAGTTAAAAAGTAATTAGCATGGATCAACATGCTACTGTAATTTCAATACGTTGAAATTCTGGCAGATGGAAATACAAGATGTGCTGTGGATACCTGAGACAAATAGCTGAAGGTGGCAGAGCTTTAACTGATAGTTTAAGTCTTTCATAAAAACCACCTTTTTCTTCCTTGAATTCTGAGGTTCACCCTGTAACTCAGGATAATATGTAAAGTGGAGCCAAAAAGATGATCCAAATACTGATCATCTTTTTGATGATCAGACAAAGCAAATTTAGATACAGAGAGCTGTTGTGGTGTAGTAGATAGAACAGAGTAGGGCAATGTGGGTTCAGATCTTCATTCATCCACAAAACCCACCTCTTCGCCTTAGGCCAGGCTATCACCTTCTCTTATTGGATTATTATGGGAGTAAAATAGATACAAGGGAGAACACTATGGCCATCTGTAAGAGAATTGGGATATAGGGCTTTGACATCTGTTAGCAAGATTGTAAATAATCACTCTGTTCTGCACGCTGTGAAACAGGGCAAACATTCCAGTAAGTTTCCTTCTGGCTTCTGAGATTCGTGAACATAAAAGTTAGAAACCGGGCAGTATGCAAGTATTTTAAAACAGAATTGAACTTCTCTGGGGGATTCTGCATCAAATAGCAAATGTGCTTCTTGCGGTAGATCCATATATGTGATTACAATGCTAGAAAATATACTGACGGGGTCCACTGTCATTTGATGGTCTTGCAACAGTAAGTCCTCACTCAGCCTTCTCTGTTCCAGTGCATTAGTGTTTTTGAGAGCTGAGGTTTCTGAGGAATCTCTTTGGCTGGCCCTCCAGCAACTGCGATCCCTGTAGCATTCACATTGCTGCACATATTATAGCAGTTGTGGCTTCCAGCCTGTGCATAGATCTTTCATTTTACCCCACTGCAGGAAGGCTGGCTCAGTGTCTTCTGCCCTGCTCTTGGTTTAAGCACTCCCTGGACACTCCACAGGCCATGCTGTATTTGAAAAGCAGTGCAAATTCAAGATGTGCTGTTGCTTGAAAATGGGCTGTGATTTCCCTCTCTCCCCTCATTATTTTCTAGATTCTGGAGTAGCATGTTTCTCATTAGATCAGGATTTAACAGTCCCATAGAGCAATTTGCACTGCAGTGTAGAAACCCTGTAATTTAGAATTGGGATCATTGCGTTCTTCAGAGGATTTGTTGACTCGTTTTAATAATTATATCACTGCTATGCGTGGGGATAAGGAACAGTCCCCGCAAAATGATAGCCAGTGGGTTTCTCCTATGCCTCTGTGGATTTCTGCTAGAGGCATTTGTAACTTTTGTTTATTAAAGTTTTGTTTGGGGGATTCTTCAGTTCAGGGAACAAGAAGTTCAATGAGGTAAAACGTCTTTTACAAACTTTCAGTTACGGTTTTGGGTAGCTCAAATTTATTTAGGTCTTCTCATCTATTAAGGGGCTACTATTTCATGAAAAATTTTTTTAAACTTCTCTTTAAAAAGAAAGACCCATCTCCCTTGCTGTAGGTGATTTTTTAACTTGAACGTTTTTAACCCTCTTTTACTGCATCCTCTTTCTCTATACAGATCCAGAGAAGTGCTTATTCCGTCTTCTTTGATGAGAAGTTTTCAATTCCCTTGGATCCTTCTATGCTGGAGGAAAACAGCTTGAGATTCTCAGTTTTTGGCATTGATGAGGATGAGAGAAACATCAGCACTGGTGTGGCTGAGCTAAAGTTGTCGGATTTGGATATCTTAGTCCGGCCTTTCAATGCCTGGCTTTATCTGCAGGACATGAATAAGGTAAGAGTATTCCTGTGGTACATCCTTCCACTAGACACTGATTTGGAGTCCTGGAAGGAAGGCATATCACTTATGATCATTGCTGGTTTTATTATTATTGTGCTTTTACCATCATGAAAGGGAAAAGACCCTTGCAAGATTTTTCTGCCTCAGGAGCCAAGATAACTTGGCTGTTTCTTAACATTTCATGCCTTCCTTCAGGCAGCAATCTCAGCCTCCAGTCCTATCATCGTTGTTCTCTGAAAATGAGTTAGTGGTCAAAAGAGCAATGGAGGAAAATCTCTCTGCTGCTAGTCAGACACCAGCTATGCTTCTCACTCATAAGCCCCTCCTTGGACGAGGCTGTAGTTGCGTCAGGTTGCAGAAGGACTGGGCAGAATAGATTGCTAAGGACTAGATGAAACTGAAGCATTTAGGGGAGCTTCTTCAGCCTCTTGGTAACTTTCTAACTTCAGATTTTAGGGCACCTTTCTCAGTGGCATTCTAATGTTTTCCCCTTGCTAGGACTCAGGAGAGAAGAAAATAGATTATGCCATTAGTTCCTTTGCAAGGCTAGTAGAATAATGAAGTAATGAATGTTCTCCTTTTTACTTATAGGCAACTGATTCAGTGGGTGAAATCCTGCTGTGTCTTAGCTATTTACCCACAGCAGAGCGACTGACTGTGGTTGTGGTGAAAGCCAAGAATCTTGTGAGGACCAATGGAAAAATGACAGCAGGTCAGTAGGACCCCTCTTCCACCTCCCCTTCAATGCTGGATAAATTATAAACATGATGCTTCAGCGTTCAGTGAACGGATGAACAATGGCTGAGACTACAATCTGGTTCTCTTGCAAGTTGAGTAGAAGAGTTTGAATAATAATGTATTGTAATCTATTTTATCATATTTTCTTTAAGGATTAATTTTGTTCTCCTACAAAACCAGGAAGTTGAAAAACTGACACACATACTAATGGTCTGTAATACATTCTCTGTATTATAAAGATCTGTGTAAAAATATGATAAGCTCTGCTACACTGTTGTCTCACAGAATCCTGAGGACCATGTTGCACATTTTGAAAGAGATACAGGAATGTTATCTCCAGATATTTACATTCTTTTCAGATACTGTAGAGTTGGGGTATGGAGCAATTTGGATGGAGTGGGAGGATTGCTAAGCTAGTTTCTTTTTCCCCACTGATAATTGTCCAATGAAGCCCCTGTCTCAGCAAAAAACAGCCCAGCTACTCATCCTTGTGGGGCAGACAGTGGCTTGATTAGTTAATTTGAAAGCCTGAACTGTATTCACGCTCCATGTTTTGGTACTTGCAATCTTGCCAAAGCCAAAAATTCTCTTCTGGGCATCCAAGACCAGGGTCTCATCTTGCAGTGTTTCACAAATACCTTGTACCTCAAATTAGCACTGTCAGTTGCATACAACAAATGAAAGGTGAACCCTGATGGGTTCATTCATAGCTCTTAGCCAAGCAAGTAACACATCAAAAGTGTCTGACTACATCATGTTCTTAAAGGGCCTGTCCTGTAATCTCAGGTATGTTTTGGTATGTTATACAAATATTAAAATCAAGATTTTTTTGGTTATTTTAATTATTTTGGAGGTGACAAGAAGCAATAATGTGTTTCTAGGGACTTCTATACTATGACATCCACAATGTTAGCAAATAACAAAACAGTAGAGATAGAGCTATAGGAAAGCAGTACCCTTGTCTCAGTAAAACTGATTCTTTCTATATGCTGCAGTCTGGTGAAATGGCATTTGAATATTAAAAATATTTCCAGAAATTGCGACTCATATAAATCGTGATAAAACTTTGCAATACAATACGTATCTGAAATATGGAAAAAGTCATTTATTACTAACTGGTGGACTGACTGACCTTTGTTAGACTTTGTAAAGTTCAGATTGCCCTATTAAAACCAGAAATTACAGGAACGAAAACTTTTAGGAAGGTATGTATTGATTTTTAACTAACCAGTACCGATTTAATACATCACAAAGAGGAGAAAGCTTTTGTCTTTATCTTGAGAAAAATGAATAATTAAGTGAAGTTCCTACTTACATTGCTTATGAGTAGAATTCCAGTTTCTCTGTGCTATTAGTAAATGATTTTATTTCTAAATGCAGTGAATAATCCACATCTGCCACCCAAATTCGGAGATTGAAATCCATTATAACCACTCAGTAAAAGCTTTGGGGCAGAGTGCTGAGCAACTGTGCCTCAGTTCTCCAAAGCAGATTCATAGGGTCAAAGGGAACAAACACAGTGGCTGAAAATCTCATTTCTCCCATCTCAGTCATCAGGTAGAATAGAAAAATCATGCCCCTCCATGGCTTTAACTTTTAACATTTGTTAAATCTAAATTATAGATTTATCATTGATTTTTCCAATACTGTAAGATTCAAGGCAGAAAAGATGGAGATTGGCAGAGGGATGCAGACATTCGCTTTGTGTTGCCAAGTTTCTGTGGTCTTTTCCAGAAAGTGATCATAGCAGGACAGCCATTGAATATTCTGGAATGTCTCTCTAAGCATCAAGCTACTTAAATAGCCATTAGTAGAAATTGAAAATCTGTAGGAGGTTATTGTCTTTGAAGGAATTAAGAAATGATCAGTTAGTTTCCAGTTTTAATTAATTGGATTTCTCTTGGTTATGGTCAGCAAGCATGCATGTAGAAGTTAGCCCACTCTGCCCTGAAGAGTCTAAGTGATCACAATGCTTTAAAATCAGTGTGTGATTTTTCACCATGGGGTAGTATATTTTCTATCTGTCCTTGATGTCCAGAGAAAAAAGGACAGAGGTAGTACATAGTAGCAGAAACCGCACCCATTGAAGTTGTGCAGAATTTCAAAGATAAAATCAGCACGGCCAAAGCCATTTCCTTGGAACCCATGGATCTCTTCTTCTCCCTTCAGATCCTTTTGTCAAAGTATACTTGCTGCAAGATGGAAGGAAGATCAGCAAGAAAAAAACTGCAATAAAGAGAGATGATACAAATCCAGTGTTTAACGAGGCCATGATTTTTTCAGTGCCAGCAATTGTCCTGCAGGTAAGAGCCCTTGGGTTCAAATGATGCACATGGTGCCCTCCAAAGAACCACTACCCTGCTATAGGCACAGGCCTCAAGCATGTGCAGTGCAGCAACTCGCTGGTGGTTAGGGCATCCATCTCTGTAGCCCAAGCATTGCTGGGACCTTTGGTGCTGCTGTGCAGGTGGTGTTGAAGGATACACATTCCTTCTTGCCCTTATCTATAATGATCGGATTATCTACTAGAGTCTAGCTGGATTTATATTGATCTGTGTGGCTGGTTCACATTTGCATGTGAAAGTACAAATGAGCTCATCCTGAGTCATTACAGTCAGTATTGTCAGCAGTGACTCAAGCAGTCACTTTTTCCCAGCCCTACTGCTTGAGATGCTTTTAGCTGGAGATGCCAGGGATTGAATTTGAGACCTTTTACTTGCTCTCCTGTGCATGTACAGCTGTGCATTTTCTCCTCTTGCAACCGTTTCAGCTTATGCTAAGTCAGGTGAAGAGATGTGTGATCATAAGTTAATTTTTGGCATGTCAATATAACTATCTTACGTGTAAGCACACCATGCTAGACTTACATCAGCCACAGACTGCTTAAACAGAACCATTGTCATTGGCCTCAGAACTTGGAATTGTGGCTCCTCTGTGTCTGCTCCAGGGTTTGAAGGACAAGAGTAGAATAAAATAGTCTGTCCCATCCACTGGGTTAGCTGATGCCTTATAGTACATCACTGTGCTTTCTTAGCAATTAAAGCCCGATCATTGGAACAAAATGCTCAACTACAAAATGTAGCAGAAATGATAAAAAGTTAATTGGGTTCAATTATTTTTTAATTTCATTTCAAAAACCGTACTTTGGAAGTCTGTAAATAGTTGAGAAGTAGTTTTGTCAAGAACCAATTCATGGACCCATTTGGGGCCATGCAGATGTGAGTACAGGGCAATTTATCCTGTACCCCATGCTGAACCCCCTGCTTGTGTCAGTGATCATACGGACTGAATCTAGGTTTTGCAGGCACCACAGACTAAAATTAAAGGCAGCCCGCTGCAGTGTGCAAATGAGGGGATTGTAGTAAATCCAGACAAAAATTTTATTTAGCAAAAGTAAATAAACTAAAAAAGAATAGATGTATAGCATTCACTTCTGCAGACATCTGTAGTCTTGGTTGAGTCCTGGTGATTTCACAAGTTTTTCTTGATGGGAAAATAGATTCTGCCTTAAAGGATTTGGCATGAAGGCAGAGGCTTTCAAATTAAATCCTGAGGGAAGAAAGCTGACATGGGAGATGTGAATGGAATCACCATGTCACTTGGTAGACTGAATATATAATTCCATTTGCTTTTCAGTCATTCAAAAGCTTTTGTGCTGGAATCTAATGTACCCTATCTAAAAGAATAATCTTCAAATGAAGCTGCTAAAACTTGACCTGTTCAGATGAATGCCTTTTATTTCTCCCATGAAGTTTTTCAAGCCCAGCACATCTTCAGTGTCAAATGCCTTGTTCCATATCAGCCTTTCCCTTCTTTTCTTTCCTTTCTGCCCCTTCTATTCCTGACATATCTTCAACTTCCCCCAAAACACAGAAACCAAGACTGTAGATTGAGGGCTTTATTTAAATCACAGTGAGCAATCTTTTGGGAAGATAAAAGTTGAACTTGGCTCTTGAATGGAGTGGTCAGATTCAGGATAAAAAAACACCAAACCAATTTTAATTGGTTTGATTGCTTTTTAAAAAGTGTATGCTATCCCTGTACAACAGCAGTGGCTTCTGATAAGATGCTAAGCATGGCTCTTTCCCTTCGTCTTGATGGACCTCTGTGGTGCAAGATCATAGACTGTGCAGTTCATTTTCCACTGCATGGTTGCTGGCTTTTCAGAATAGCTTAGGACAAAACAGAAAATTGGGCTTTATACATATAACGAAACCATATCCATTGTTTATTGTTATCTAAGTTGTTGTTTTTACTCAGGCATATGAAATATCTCTCTGTAAGAAGCTTAATGTTTAAGTTACTGCCAAGGCTATCTGTGGAAAGGTCAGAAAATGAAGATGGTGACCAACTGTGCAATCAAAGTCACACATACACTGCATCTAAAAAAGGGATGGGGCTTTGACCATGTGGTCGTGGCCACCATCTTGACCCTTTGGATCCCCCTGTAGACACCCTGGTTACTGCTTCTGCAGGCAAATTTTGTCATTCTTTGACAGTCCTTCGAGATAGTCCAGAGAGGAAACCAAATCCATGAATACTAATACTACCTTTATTGTAAGACTGCTGTAACAGAATTTTGCAAGTCTGAAAGCACTTCCCCCTCCCCTGCCTTTATTTTCCAGAGAACTAGGGAGGGTCTCTTCTGAGATGCTTTCTCCACTCCCATCCCTCCTTTGGAGTTGGATCTCTCTTATCAGACTGTTGTGTAGGCTGCAGCTCTTCCTTCTGTCTCCCAAGGTTATTCTCCCAGCTCATTACATTCTAATAAGAAACAGTGTGTTTCTTGGTTGATACAATCTTAAAGAACTTATGATTTGTGTCATTACATCCAGAATATAGAAAACAATATCCTAATGTTCTTTAACTTTTGATACACCATGATGTGTTTATTATTTGGAGCTTTCTAGTTTGAAACTTGGAGAGTTGCATTACTTGCTCTGTAATTTTAACCTATCTGTGTGGTTGCTAGAAGTTGAAAATGACTTGATGGCAGATAATCAATTTTAATCTGAATTAGTTATAATTGCCAAGAAGTTACAATCTGAAATTGCACATAAAAGGCTGGCAGGCAGGCAGGTCGGCAGGCATGCAGACAGATGGACAGACACACAGATGTATAGATAAATTCAAGTTTCAATGAGACTTGATTATAAGAGGACATACAAATTTCTAATGCAGAGTCATATCCTAAAATCCTAAAATGTCTCAGATAATCTTGAAAGAATAACGAACTGAATTATACCTCATGTTCTGTGCCAGTTTTCTCTAAATAGATGCCATGCAAAAGTGTTGACTTCCCATAATTCCTAATTACAACCATTGGCTTTGCTAGTCCATTATCAGCAGAATAGCTCCAAACTGTTCAGAACATCCAATTGAGGAAATTTTGCTGCACTTTCTGTCTCTGTTTATAGGGGTTGCAGTTACATGAGTTGAACTGGCTGTTTCACTGCTCAGTAGCTCTCATAGTCACAAAATTACTCCTTATTTTGAGTTTGGATCTCCTGAAAGCTTCCTCCAACTAGTTCTTGTCCTGTCTTCAGGCACTGTGAAGAATAAATCCACACCCTCTTCCCTGCGATAGCCCTTCAAGTGCTGCATTGGGAAGCTGCTATTATGCCTTCCGTCAGCCTTCTCTTCTTTAGGCTAAACGTACTGAGTACCACATTTTCCTATGATGTTGTGGGGCTTTCAGGGCTCTTGAAAAGCTGAAGTATGAGCTGTGCAACTTCTGTGCCAAAAGAAACATTGTGAAGATGGTTTTTCAGCATTTCCTTTGGAGCTGCAGGGCAGGTCACGTCCCATTGGTGGGAAATCTCAACACCGGCTTCCTGGAATTCCTCCCTGCCTCCTGCCCTCAAAACACACTGGTGTCTTCTCCATCCTGCCCAGTTGCTCTGAGGGATGGCTTTGCCACTCCCCTTATACAGTGGCCAACTTGGTCTTTTTACCTTTTTCCCCCTCATCACAAAAAGCAAACAAGGAGAGAATGAGGTGGGGTGTCTGTTGGCTGCTGTTTTTTGTGTCAACAGGATGATGGAGCACAGGAGTGAGAACACTAGGCCAGCATTGCAGAGCTTTTGCAAAGGGTAAGATGGGCAAACCTCATGACTTTGGGCAAGTGCCCCAAATTTCTATTCAACCTTCTAATTGCATTGTTTTATTTAAACTAATCTACATAATTGAGTGTAGTTTGTCAGTTGAAGGTACCACAATTCCAGTGTACTTTGTGCCATCAATATTGCTAATCCTAATTTATGACTTTACAGGAACTGTCTCTTCGGGTGACTGTCGCAGAATGCTGTGAAGATGGGAGAGCTGAAAATATTGGCCATGTTGTCATAGGCCCGGCTGCAGGAGGCATGGGCATCACTCATTGGAATCAAATGTTGGCCACCTTGAGGAAACCTGTATCCATGTGGCACCCACTTCGACAAAGCTAAGGGCGTACCTGCACCTCACTGAAAATAATGCAACATGGTGCGTAAATAATTCCAGGAGAGCAATGCTGTTGGAACAATGACTTTGTAAGACCCTAAGAGTTAAAAAAAATTTTTTTCTAAATATTCTTCACAAAGCAGAATAGCAGTGACAGATGATGATGATGATGATGATGGGTTGCCAAATGAGACTGCCTAAGCTTTGGGAAAGAATCATAGCTAAAGCTATAAGAGAAGATATATAAGTACAGGTGGGTGCCCGGTAGCCTGTGGACAAGTAAGGTAGTCTTTTGATTCCATCAGTCTAACATCACCAGCTTGGAGAACCAGTCATTCTTGAAGCTCTTTTACACCAAATCTTGCAGTTCCACATTATTTTCCTCTATTCAAGATGACTTGAAAGGAATGTTTATGGTATTTTATGTACTTGACATCATCTGTGTTTTGGCCAAGTTGACTTGGAAGTCAGATTCCTTGGATTGAATGGGTCCTGCTTTGATATAATTGTGTTTGGATCACAATTTTATACTTCATTCCTTGTCACATTTGTTGGGAATCAAGTCCTGATGATTTCAGATAAATTTGGGCAAATTATTTCCAAGTAAAGTTGCTTAAGTCACATTTTTTTGCAACCATAATCACATGTGTCTTTATCATGGTTGAAATTCTAGTAATGTTGCCCTGTTTGTCTGTTCTAGAGAAGAAAATGAAAAGGCTCATAATTGAATAAATATACGATAGAACAAACTTTTACAAACAAAGATGTGCATCATTAGATATGTGAAGAGGACTACTTCTTGCTATAAAAGCTCAACAAATCTGTTGAAGATTCATGAATCTTTCTCCTCTCTTTGAACTATGGTAAAAATGTAATCCCGCAGACCACAGCATCATCACAGAGACCACCTCTGCTCATCCAAAACTCACCTGGGCTCTGGTGTAGTCCTACTTAATTCCAATGTCCCAATAGCAGCATTATTACATAGGATGCAATATTGTGCTTATCTACTGAGAAGTAAATTCACTGGGCCTTACTTCTAAATACATATATATAGCACAGAATTGAACAACCAATGGACTTTTCCTTCCCCTTTTCACCAGTTATGAGCAAATGGAGACCAGCCTGTCTGTTCAGTGCAGATGTTTTATTTATTCAGTTTATGTGTGCTTGACCTCAAAAGCAGTTGAGATCATGCAGAGCAGAAGAGGAGAGGAAATGATGTGGATACAGGTGTGTCATGCATGACAGGTCCATCCTTAGAATAGTAAATTTGGGTAGGTAATTTGTAATTCAAGGCCACATCGGTCATAGGATACTAAATATTTGTATTTTGAGAAATAAGGAATGGCAGCTTGAAAAATAAAAAAATTGAGCAAAACAAAGGCTCTGTAATTCAAATGGGACCTTAATTGAAAGTTTGTCTATAAGTAATTCATTTTCCCCCCATGGCTTATTATCTGCTTTCATCTCTCATCATAAGCAAAATCAACATGAATTAATTAAAATGAATGTACCTCAGAAAATATATTGCAACTCAGCAAATTCTAGTAGGGGAATCCGCAAAGCTGATTAATGTTTTGATGGATGGGGGTGGGGGAAATCATTTCTTTTTAAGTAATGAGTAGTTGTTTGCCAATGAGCCTGATGAAACTATGTGAACAGTTTTTTTAATAGAAGTGCAAGGGATGAAATATTAGCACAATTTGTCTGGCCACTTCTGCCATTAAATTTAAGCCAGAAAGCCTGGCTTCCAGAGCACCTGCAAGAACTGGCTTTTTTGCTAGATCATACACAGTTTTTAAAAAGCAATAAAAAGTCAAGCCCTACAGACTAAAAAATACTTGGTATTTTGACCTCACCTATTAGCATTTTTAGATGTAATCCTATAAAAGTGTACATTTTAATAACTGTTCCAATTAAAGCACTTAAATCCTCTGTCTCTTCCAGCTTAATAAACTCAATCATGAGTCAATTTTTATTTTACCCTAAGACCTGACAGAGTTGTGTTTCGATAGGTTTGCATAGATTGGAGGAGAGAATATTTTCCAGTTCTTTTAATAAAGCAAACCAGCTACTTAAGGATCCTTTTGCACAACCAACTATGGCCACAGGACAAGCTTTAGCACTTGGCCAAAATGAAGGCCAGCTGAATTCACTGAGCTTGTGCATCTCTAGGACTCTTTTAAGAATAGTTTTGCCGTTGTGAATATGTGCTCATCCTGGATACTCTGCTACAGCCAAAGGACAGGATTGAAGAGGAGATTTAGTGGCCGCAATGAGTTCCATGACCTGAGTGTGAATTTCGTTAACTCTGCTCCACTGTCTGAATCCCTTTGTTAATTAAAACAATAAAATAATCACAACAAAATAATCTGAATTAAATTAACAAAGCAGCAGAAATAAACAGAAGGAAAGATTAAAACCAAATTCAGCTGGCTGAGAAAAGACCTGAGGAAAGCATTCCATGAATAGGACATCATAGCCCTACTATTTAAATAATAGTAATTATTTAATTTAATTTAAAAAATTAAAAATATAATTTTATTAAAACTTTAAAGTAAGATAAAAAATGAATAGAAACTAGTATAAAGTAAGAAAAAGAGAAAGAAAAAGATCAAAGAGCTGAAAGTGCAAAAGCAAAGAAAGAAAATACAAAGAAGTACCTTCCGGGTTTTTTTACAGCAGTTATAAGTACAATTATAAATCTACCTCTTGCTCTATGGTTACAACATAACTCAATTTTTTCTATAATCTATCCTGTCTAATCAAAATCATAAATCATCCATTTTTTTTCTGTTTCACGTAAAAAGTCTATAATGGCTATAAGCCCTACTATTTCTCTTACTAGTTACTGTTGCTTTCCTACAGGCAGGTATGTGTGGGTGAAGCAGGTGTTTTGGTACCCCCTGAATAGGGCTGGGGAGTTTCTAGGTCAGCCATCCTAAGGGAGATCTGGAGGTAGTATTTTCTTCCATTGTTCTGAACAAGAATCATCTGGTTCCTCATTCCTACATCTGATTGTCTCCATCTGAGCTGTGACAAAAGAGGAGCCTCCCATTTTTCCTTTTGTTATACCCAAGCAGAAAATTAAAAAACAAAAACCTCTCTCTGATCATTTTGTTTTAATCTGGCTTTATTGACAAATGCAGCTGGCTGGAAATCTGGATAATCATTATCTGCTAATCATTTTTTGCATTTGAGGCCTTGCGCTTATCAACTGGCCTGGGATTTGGGACAGGCATAATGTGTGAACAAGACCTAATGTAATAGAATTTGCGCTTAGAACTTAGCATCTAGATGCAGACCTCAATATATTTTACCCCTTTAAAGTCAGTAGAAATAGTTGGGAGAGCTCCCCAGACAAATCTTCACAAAGTAAAGAGAAACAGGAAAAACATCAAATATCACTATTAGAAAATATTCTACCTTCTGGAATTACCAGCAAACATTTTTACATTATGGGCAATATAGTTCTTTTTATTAGGCAATCAAAATAATGGTCCTTTTCCATGAGCTTACTGACAAACGTTAAAGAAGAAAATATGTCATCATGACAAAGATGTATGCAAAGTTCATGACATTATCATGAACATTATATTATCATGATGTTAAGTCTGCAATCCACTTAATTGCATGGGATGTATTACAGCTGCATATTTACATAAACCTTCCATCCAGACAATGAGATGGCCCTCCAGCCTCCCATTTGCTTTTCATTACTAAGCATATATGAAAAGCACTTTATTGTCATAAATGTGTTAACTGTATTTTGTTGAATATAATTACCTGGGTTCATACAACACATTATAGCTTAGAAGACAATCATTCTCTGTACAACTCTACTCCTGGCAAGGTAAAACTATACTTTTTGTTCAAAATATGTTATTACTAAACATGTATGAAAAGCCCATGTTCTTTCTGATTGGGTTACATTTAATTCCTTGCTATTAGTAGCAGCTCACTGCTTGAAAGGCAAGTGGTTGAGCCAGATTAAAAACACAATCCCACATCCACCTATCTAACAGCATGACATTGAACTCAATAAGCCTTCGAGTAGGCCTATAGTAATGGATCAGTCACATACTCTCAGTCCTAGGAAGAAGAAAATGATAAAACATTTCTGAAGATGTTGCCAAGAAAATTGCAAGGACTTGTCCAGGCAGTTGCACTATTTAGACAAATGCTGTAAAGTCCCATAGGTCCCCACTGGAGAAAGAAGAAAGTACTACCCCCTTGCATCATTTGTCTTCTTGAAGCACAAATATGCACACACATTATGACACTAGAATGTGCAAAAGCAAAAAATAGGTGGGAAATTCCTGATGACGTATGTCAGTATATGGCTGGCAAAAACTCATTTGTTCAAAGTTGCCACTGTCAGGGTTCTGAACAGAAATTCTCCGATAAAAAAAAATCATGGTTACTGAAAACATTGTGGATGATGTATTTGCACTCAGTAATCTCTTTATTAATTTTACAATTTGTAAAACATAAAACACTTTATCTGTGCGTGTATTATTTTTACTTCAATCTAAAAGAACGCATGAACACATGCACAGGATAAGAAAGTATCTTAACCTCACAAACCATTTCAGCACTGTTCTAATGTGTTTTCAAGGCATCTGTCATCTGTTTGATCCTAGTGTGGTAATTTTGGGATCATCTGTGATTAGCTGGGTTTCTAATTTGCAATCAATTTAAAATCTCAACAGTGGTACATGCAAGAGGGAGAGTAATATTCTATTATCTATATCAAGCTCTATCACACAAAGATTTTCCCCCGCCTCCACTGATGTTTGCACCTCCGCCCATCATCAAGAGCACGCTAGTGGTAACACACTGCAAAATCCTCCAGACTCTGCTTCCTTTCCACTCTTGGAAAACCATTTTTTTCTTTCCTCCCTTGCATCAGGAAACTTAGATTTCACTGAGGTCATCCTGTCTTTGTGGCAATTCATTTTGACTAGACCAGTATTTCTCAACCTTGGCAACTATAAGATGTGTGGACGTAAATGCCTAGCATGGCTGGCTGGGGAATTCTGGGAGTTGAAGTCCACACATCTTAAAGTTGCCAAGGTTGAGAAATACTGGTCTAGTCAAAATGAATTGACGTAAATGCCTAGCATGGCTGGCTGGGGAATTCTGGGAGTTGAAGTCCACACATCTTAAAGTTGCCAAGGTTGAGAAATACTGGTCTAGTCAAAATGAATTGACGTAAATGCCTAGCATGGCTGGCTGGGGAATTCTGGGAGTTGAAGTCCACACATCTTAAAGTTGCCAAGGTTGAGAAACACTGGACTAGACAATCAGCCTGCCCTATTCCCTGCCTCCTACCTCTGTTTCACTTAGCCCAGCTCAAGAAATAGCCTAGCTTTGAATCAGGATTTGCTGGGATACCACAAAGAGTTTGTTAGACTAGCTCCCTGGTAAATTCAAACGATTGGTCTTTCTCCCCTTGTGAGGAGCAGAGGGCTCTTTTTTAATTCATGGACCACTGGAAGCTCAGTCTAGGTGGGGCTGACCTCACAGCTGGCAAGTTTGAAGCAGAGAGTGTGAGTGCTGTTTGCCTGGTATTTGCTGAGGGTCTCCCTGTGAACCCCAGAGCAAAGCCTTGCTAAATATGTTCAGAATTCATGAGTGGTGAGGATGAAAGGGAGAATCACAGGAGGAACTGGAAAGGCATTGGGAATGGTTTGAAAAATGAAACAAATGAGGGTGTGGCAGAGCTCATTACCTATTTAGGTAAAATGAACCCCAGGGCCCAAAGAGGCAATGAAATGTATTCTTAGGCTCCCTCCAGCCCTTAATACATACTTATCAACATTTTAAGAGCAAGATTTCCCTGGGGCAAACCTTTAATTCTTCTTGCACGTGACAAATATTTGCAGACCACTTGCATTTTGATGGATAGACCATGTATTTTTATGACACACCCAAATGGCATCTGACTTCTCCAGAAAATATCGCTCTTCCCTTATTACAAAATAATGGTGAGGGTTCCCCACCCCAAAGGGTGTGGATTCTAGAAAAGTTGCTCTCTCTTATAGCCCAGACTAACCCTTTACCAAAGCCAAGGCCAAGCCACTATGGACAAACGTGGCATTCAGTACAGTAAAGGTAATGTAAGCACCTCCTGTGAAGAGCATCTAGGGAACAGACTGTTTTAGCACAGAGAGAAGCTGCTGACAGTTTAAAGATCTTTTCGAGGATTAGTTTATACAGACAATGAATCTCTTGGGAAATAGATTTCATATAGCACTTGAAAATATTTTCTGAAATAATGCTAGGTAGGGAGATAAAAACTGTTAAAACCAAGAATGGATGCTGTAAACACAC